TTTCACTTTAATATTTGGAAACAAGAGTAATTAAAATCATATTCCAGGATCAGCGCCCATAGCTCAGAGGTTAGGGTGCTGACCACATACACTGGGGCTGGTGGGTTCGAACCCAGCTTAAGCTAGCTAAACTACAATGACAACGACAAAAAAAAAAAAAAAAAAAGGTGGGCTGGGCGTTGTAGCAGGCACCCATAGTTCCGTCTTCCTGGCAGCCTCAGTCAACAGAATAGCTGGGTTAGTTCCTGGCCTGGGCCTGCTAAACAACAATGACAACGACAAAAAAAAAAAAAAAAAAAAAAAAGCTGGGCGTTGTAGCAGGCACCTATAGTCCCAGCTACCTGGGAGGCTGAGTCAAGAGAATAGCTTAAGCCCAAGAGTTTAAGGTTGCTGTGAGCTGTGACGACACCATACTCTACTGAGAGGGACGTAATAAGACTCTGTCTCAAAAGAAAAAGACATTCCATCCTGTGGCCAAACAGGATGATGGGATGTTGGAGTGAAAATGTGTTATAATTTTATAGCATCCTCTCTTTCCCCCTGGACCACTTTTCAGCACTGTAATTAAGTAAGTGTTTGAGCTATTTGTTTAGTGGTTGTCCCTTCCTCAGGGCTGCAGGCTCCACAGGGAGAGGGGCTATGTCTGCTCTGTTACTGTATCCCTGTGCTTAGAATAGTGCCAACACACAGTAGGTGCTCTGTAAATACCTGAAAAGGGGAGAAAAGGATGGAAAGAGGAGACGGGAGAGAGGACTAAGAAGGATAATCCAGCTCCCTCCACAGTTTCCTAGAACATTAAAAATTACTGGAGAAGTCTCCGTGTCCTACAGTCAAGGAAATTGCTAAGTGAATCCTGGTGAATTCTTCTCCCATCCCAATCTCTGTGATGAGAGGCAGTGTGGGAAGATTGTGATACCCTCCAGGTTCAATAAAAAATCATGTTGACCTTCCTGCATCTTATCCATTTTCAACTTCCCACAGCCTAGAAAGGTAAAAAAATAATTCACCTTTTTGATAAAAATGTTTTACTAATAATTCCTAATCTACTCCTATTTTACCCCAGTAAGATTTTCTGTCACTAAATTTTAATTTTCATTAGTGTATACTTTATAATTAGGGGGTTATTTATTTGTTTGATTGGTTATTGTGTCTCCTCACTAGAATTTAAGATCCCTGAGGTCAGGAGATCTGTTTGTTTTGTTTAAAGCTGGGTCTTCAGGGTCTGAGACAGTGACTGCACATAGTAGGTGCTCCGTAAATATATGTTAATTAAATTAATAAATGTTTGAATGTGTGGATGATTAAATAAAGGAATGATTAAATGAGTGGTTGGATGATTGAATGAATGAATAATTGAATGGAAAGATGAATGGCTGATTGCACAGATGAGTGAATGGAAGAATAAAAAAGCCAGCTGGACTTCGGGGGCCAGATGTGGTAGGAAGGGCAGGCCCAGACTACTCACTTAAGGGTTTCCAGGGTCTTCAGTTGAGGGAAGATGGCTGAGAGCTGAGCAACACCCTCGTCCCCAATCTTGTTCTCACTTGGTGAGTCCAGGCTGCAGGTGGAATCAGATGGAGACGGTTAGCCAGTGCCTGGGAAGCCACCTGCCCTTCCTGTCCCCCCAGGCCTAGATACAGCACAGGCAGCCGTCCCACTGCTGAGCCCTGGAGACCAGGGCACAATCACCTGAGGACACCAACTGCCCAGCCAAGAGCAAGACCTAATGCCTGGAATGCCTGGCACTGGAATGTCTGGTTTGCTTCTTAAGAGCCCCACGAGCCTGGGAAGCGACCTCAACCTCTTGGAACCTCCACTGTGAGGTGGGATCATGCCCCCTGCTTGCCTCCCCACCCATCCAGTCAAGTTGCAAATGAGGCTTTGAGGGGAAAGAGTTTCAAAGGTCACTGAAGGATCCAAAACTTTTTTGTTATTGCGGATTCCCATCTGCTGTCCCTTCCCTGCAGTGGGGTCATCTGATCATTCCATTGGCCACACAGAGGAAGCAGAGTGAGGGAGAGAGAGAGAGAAAGGGACAAAGAGAGAACTCTTCTCTTTGCATATGCCTCAGGGGCAGGACTTGGGGTTGTGAAAATCCAGAGAAATTTCTTAGAAGGTTCACAAGTAAAAAACAAAACAAAACAAGAACCCAGAGGTGGAGGGGAAAGTGCCAAGTCTATACTTACTCCAGATGCTGAAGGGAGGAAAAGGCGGGGAGGATCCTCACCAGTCTAGGGAAGGCCTGGGGGCCTGAGATGGGGCCCAACCTAGGAGGCAAAGAGCAGGGTAAGCTCCCAAACCAGTCGCGGCCCCTCGATTAAGCCACAGAGTGGGGCAGAGATGGGCACAGAAGCCAGGATCTGTCTGGGGTCTCCTTCCCTTTCCTGCCTTCCTACCTCTTATCCCCCCACCTGCCAGGTGGGACCCCCAACCCTTTTTGCCTGGGAAAGATTTCACAAAACCCTTTCTCCGGGAGGCCAGCTGGGCCTCTAATCTCTAAACAGGGAGCCAGTCCCCTAAATGCCAGTTGAGGACCATGGCAAGTGGTAAACCAGATGTTTTACTTGTCTTTTTTTTTCTCTTTTTATTTTTATTTTTTTTAAACAGTCTCACTTTGTCACCCTTGGGAGATTGCCATGGCATCATAGCTCACAGCATCCTCAAACTCTTGGGCTCAAGTGATTCTCTTGTCTCAACTTCCTGAGTAGCTAGGACTAGAAGGTGCTTGCCACAATACCCAGCTATCTGGCTGGCCTCCAACTCCTGTGCTCAGGCAATCCACCTGCCTCAGCCTCCAAGAGTGTTAGGACTACAGGCTTGAGCCACCACTGGCCTTGTCTTTTCATTTTAATAACAAAAAAGAGCCATTTGTTGAACATTTATTATATATCAGGCACATGCAGAGTTCTTTAATCAGCTTAGATCTCGCTTAATTCTCACAACTCTGAGCTAAGGGCTCTTTTTACCCACATTTTACATATGGGGAAACTGAGGCACAGAGAGGTTAAATAGCTCACACAAGGTCAGACAAGACCAGACAGAACGAATGAGAAAAATAAGGACAATGAAGGGCAGTTTTGTTTCAAAAATATGGTTAAATGTATACGATGTAAAGACCTGTCTTTTATTCTAAAATTATATCCTTACATTTTTTTGATATTAAAACGGTCATCTTTAATAAAAATTATGGTGCCAGCAGTGGTTACCATGTTGTTATTTGTTTGTTTGAGTAAAACATACTTGATAAAATGAAAAGATGGTAACTGCATAGTGACCCAAATTCATTCTGAAATGTTCTTGGTTTCTGAATTAAACCAAGACGTCTGAGAACCACTGGCCATATTAAAAGGCTACAGGATGGGAGCTGACCCCAGGATCTTCCACTTGACTGCCATGCTAAGGGCCCCAGCAAATTCTGTCACCTCTGAGTCTAAGTAGCCCCAACCTTGTAAAGTTGGGGGAAGGATCAAGGAATTCACCTTCACCTAGTTACTGCCTGCATCCCATGTGTCCGGCGCAGAGGAGAAAACCATGAACAAAACAAAAGCACCTGGCTTTGTGGAGCTGGCAGGCCAGTGCGGAAGACAGGTTGGTACGGAAATCCGTAAATGAGGTGGTGTCTGAGACAATGACTCACTCAGAGAAAGTACAGTGGGAAGGGGGGCAAGAGTTTATTTTTAAATCCAAGAGTCAGAAAAGACATCATGGAGTAAAGTCCACAGGAGGTGAGAGTGTGAGCCATGCAGATATTTGGGGAAGAACATTCTAGGCAGAGAGCACAGGCAGTGCAAAGGCCAAGAGACCAGACCTTGCCTAGGGAGGTGGAAACCAGAGAAGAGGCCCGTGTAGCTGGGGTTGGAGTGAGCAAGGGAGAGTTTATGGTGAACGGGTAAGCAGGGCCAAGTCAGGGAAGGACCCTGCGAGCGAGTGGCGTGCCGGCAGGGTTTTGGGTGGCCTAGATGCCTGATCTGCCAGGCAGATGAGGGCTACAGGGTGCCTGTGCCAGAGAAGATGCCCGAAATAGTCTTTTCCTTCCTTCCTTAGAACCTTCTTGGGACTTCCAGTTTCCAGATGGCTGGTCACTGGCTCTAGGCCGTTCTACCTCATTGATGCTGCTCCCCAGAGCGCAGTTCCGACCTCAAACTAGGGGCTTTTTAAGCTGAAAATAATTCAAGCCAAAAAGGGCCTTTGTTGATTGTTTTCATACATTTCCTCTTTTCAGTGACATTTTTACCTCCACACAAATTTGACACCTTGTCTCTGTTTAAAACAAGAGACATTTGGCTTTTTCTGGGGTACAAAGGAAGTGTATAGGTGATCAGCTGGGGAGGGGCAATGGGTAAGTCACTTAACCTTGTCAGGGCTTAGTTTCCTCATCTGTAAAATGGCAAAGATAATGACTGTCTCCCACAGTGGCTCTTGAGATTAATGAGATTATATGTAAAATGCACTAAGCACCCTGAGGTGTTTGATGATTCCTTCCTAATCAGGAGATAATCTTAGACCCTTGACAAGAACCAAACACTAACTAGGTTTTTTTCTTGGTTGGAGCTCTGAGCTAGGTTGACCTGATATTTATGACTTTGGACAAACAATTCATACTCTCTAGGCCTAGGTGTTGCCATGAGCACAATGAAGAGATGATAGCAATACTCCCAAAAGAGGATCACTTGAGATAACAGAGGTCAAGGTGCTTTGCAAATTGAGAAGCTATGTTCTGGCTCTGTGCCCATAGCTCAGCGGTTAGAGGACCGGCCACATATACCTAGTCTGGCAAGTTCGAACCCAACCCAGGCCTGCTAAACAACAATGACAACTACAAAAAACAAACAAACAAACAAAAAAACAGCCAGGCATTGTGGCAGGTGCCTATAGTCCCAGCTACTTGGGAGGCTAAGGAAAGATAATTGCTTAAGCCCAAGAGTTTGAGATTGCTGTGAGCTATGATGCCACAGCACTCTCCTGAGGGGGACATAGTGAGACTCTGTCTCAAATATAAATAAATAAATAAATAAAGCTATGTTCTGACAGACAGTTCTAAATCAATAATGATAATCAGTGTGCTCTCAGGCCCATGTGCACGGGCTGCCCTTCCAGAGTGACCAGGCACAACTTGGGCACTCTACAACCCACTGAGGTCCCAGTTTCTGTCACCCTAGCAGCACCGCCTAGGATTTTGGCTCCCAGCCCTGACCACACATAGAGTGCCCAACTTTCCTGATTTGCCTGGGACTGAGAGGTTTCATGGAATATGAGTCTTTCAGTGCTATAACCAGTCCCAGGCATGCTGAGATGTTTGTTCCCCCTAGCGGCACGTTGAAAGCTCTGGGGTATCCTTCAAACTGGGCAAAGAATCCCTGGGCTAAGTCACTGGGTTGGGGTGTGGTCTGAGCATTGGAATGATTGGAACCAAGGAACAATTCTGCTCTGTGGCCAAGGTGAAGAACAGGTGCCTGGAGGCGGGTAGACACCTGGGCTTTAGAGGGTGATATTGGCTAGGGAGGGTTGGTTCATTGCCCCTGGGGAGCCCACCCCTGGGTTATGGACATAAGCAAGCTCATGCTCAAGGGGTGTGTGCAGTCTCTGGTCACAGCAGGGAAAAGGACTCAAGCAGTGGTCACAGTAGCATCCTCCTATGGAACGTCACAGGCTGGGGACACGTTAGGGCGTTCTATCCCTGAACAAATTACTGTTCCTAGGGGGCCTTCCTGCCACCCCTCTCCCTACTCGGCTGATTCCTTCTCCTTGTCAAGCTTCACTGCAGACATCACCTCCTCCAGGGAAGTCCTCCTGAGCTCTTCCAGATGGGTACTTACTAGTCTGTAAGCTCATTGAGGATGGCAGGTCATTCAAGTGGGTGCTCAATAAGTCTGCTGGCTGAGTGAATGGAAATGAGCATGTACACCAGCAAATGGGTCTGTTAGCTTGGAATCTAAGACTCTCCAGCATTTTCTCAGACTGACCACATTCTGGCTGCTGGCAGCTGGTTCCCAAAGTGGTAGACAAGAGGGTAAGAATGGTCCTAGAGACTCATCTCTACCCCCGGTGGCACAAGCCCACCTAATGCCAGCGAAGAAACCTTGCGTGGACCCGAAACAATCTACCCCTTTGCTTACGCAAACTCCAGTTTCTTTAGGTCCCGGACAGCAGGAAGCTCCCTGGCTGTGTCTTCTGAGGAACTTCTCATCCTGGAGAAAACAGGCAGTTAGTGGGGGATAAGGATTTTCTGCCACAGAGCCCTTATCCGTGGGTCCCATAACGGCTTCCCAGTGCCCAAAACTCCCTGGGAAGATTGCCTTCCTTGGGATTATTGTTGCGCTTTATTGAAAAGAGACATCGCAGGACTGTGTGTTTCCTGGCACAGAGCCTCAGATTCAGCACTTGGTAGCACCGGGCCCAGAGAGCACATAATAATGCGTGATGAAGGGGTGAGGGGGACAGTTAACTTGTTCTGTGGTCAAGTTTCCTCTGCCCTCTGGATCTTAGTCCTGCCATCTATAAAATGGGAATGACACTGGTCCTAAATTACTCAAAGGGTGGCAGTAGATGTCACTTTTGTTACTGGATGCAGAAGCCATCTTTGTCAACTCCCAGAAAGGGAGCATTTCTCCTTGCCTTTAGCTAAGAAGAACTGGGCATACAAGGGCATGTTTCAAATGGAGCAAAGTGTTTTACCCAGTAGGCTTTGCCTGAGCAGCAACTGCAGTGAATTATTCCAGGTAGCCATTGCCCAGAAGGAGGACATGGGTGCCCCAAAGGAAAGGAGGCACTGGAAATGACCATGAAAATCATGACAATGGGTCCTATGTGTCCTCAACATGCATAGCCCCATCCCTCACCCCCTCACCTCTGGGTCTGCACAAGGTTGCCCAGGTCTTCCACATCCTTCTTGGACTTGGCTTTGAAAGGCTCAATGGTGAACTTCTCCTCCACAGCCTGGAGTAGCTTGAACTCCCCACGTTGCCGTAAGGACTCCCACAGCCCCACCGTGTCACTCAAGGCAGCCCTGTGGAGGGACGGCCTCAGACCCAGGCACAGTGACTGGGCTAGACCATAATAAAGGGGCAGTTCCATGAAGGGACCTCCTATCTATTCAGATTCTTTCCTTTCTTAGCTTAACCTCCTCCAGAAAGCCTTCCATAACCACTCCAGCCCTTATTGAGTCCTCTTTTCTTACAACTCTCACAGTGTTTTGTTGCCCTTTTTACTTTGGCTACCAGGAAGCACAGTGCTAAATTCTTGGCACAACTGTATGAGATTTTATGACATGGGTAAAGTACGTTTAGGAGGAACGTGGGGGCAATTCTCTGAAGATGAAGCTGAAGTGCTCAAGCAGATTTCAGAAAGACTCAAATGCACCAAATGAAGGAATTTAGACTCAATATCAAGGATGGCAGATTGTCAGCAGGAGTGGGATATGATCAAATTTAACTTGTGGGAAGAGCACTCTAGTGGCTGCATATAAAATAGAGTGGAAGAGCAGAGAATGAAGGTAGTAAGGTCAAGGGGAGTCCAGGGCTTTAATCTAAGCATAAGAACACAGTGCCTTGATCATAGATGAAGAGAAGAAAACAAATTTGAAGCCAGGTCAGTCTTGGATTCTAGACGTGATCTGGTGCCTGGCACACAGAGGTCCTTCCAATATTGGTTAGAAAACAATTCTGCCCCTCACTGCTGCATGGCTTTGGGCAAGCAGCTGCCCCTCTCGGAGCCACAACATCATCATCTCGAACATGGGGTGTATCGCTTCTGCCCCACCCGGCTGCTGTGCACATGCAAGTGGGACCCCATAGAGTGAGTATGAGGCCCAGCAACAAGGCCACCGTCAGTGCCCAGCACAAAGGAGCCCCCTTTCCCCATCCTCTGCCCCCACCTGAAATGGGTGACACAGCTGAGTCCCACGAGGCTCCCTAGTCCAGAGGGGTCAATGCCAGTGTTGCACAGGTCCAGAGAGAAGTCTTGGCCGGCTGCCTCTAAAGCCCTGCCCAGCACATGTGCATCAGGAGGTGTGAGCCGGGTGCCTAGGAAGGACAAGCGGGCGGGGAGCTCCTGCACCACGTGCTGCCAAATTCCAACGTCCTCCGCCTCGTGGGCACAGTGCAGCAGCTCCAACAGCCGTCTCGCCCGCAGCATCCCTGGCTGAAGCCTCTTCAGGTACTTGGTGAGGACTTTCTGCTTTCGGTCTGCCAAGGTGGTTGCTGCTGGCCTGACCAAGGCTCCCAGGCAGCGGTCATGGGGCTGAAAGATCAGCCCGGTCAGAAAGCGTGGCACACCTTCCAGCCAGTTGTCATAGGGCCTCTTCTTCCTTGGGGTCAATGCTAAATACTGTGGCAGTTCCTTGTCCTTGATGTCACTGCTCAGAGCCAGCCACAGGGCACCCAAGAAGCACTGCAGGAGGAAGCTGGAGAAGGCCAGCCGGGCCTCAGTGGCCCCTGGGCTGGGTCGTACTAAGCCCTTAGCCACAGCCCAGGTCCTCACCTCCACTGAGGGGAACTGGTCTTCCCGCAGGTTACCTTGGTGTCTGCGCCCCAACTCCCAGGCCAGCTTGGCCAGCTCCGCCAGGGCCCCCGGCGGGCTGTCTCGGGCTGCAGGGCCCAGCAGGCCAACGTAGAGTCCCGTGAGCGTGGCAGGCAGTTCAGCCCCATCTCCCTGCTCCAGCAGGGCCTCCAAGAGCTGGCACATGGCCCGGCACAAAGTAGGGCTGTGACTGTGACTGAGGAGGAAAGGCTGGTCCTGGAGGAGCGCTAAGGCTCTCTCTTGGTACTCGGTCACCCCCAAGTTCTCAAAGTAGCGCAACACATAGGCCTGGGTCTGCTCAGGGGAGAAGCCAGCCACCTCAAACAGGGCATCGGCCTTGCTCAGGCTCTGGGCCAGGCGGCCCCGGGGCCAGGCAGTGAGAAGAAGGGTGCAGCCTCGCAGCAGCCTCCGCTGGAAGAGGCCAGCCAGCAATCCCCGGAGGGAGCAGGGTTCTGTGGCCCCTGGGCCACCCGTGCTGTGCAAGAAGCCATCCTGGGCCTCCAGCTCCTCAAAGGCGTCCAGGATGAGCAGAACACGATCAGGCCTCCTCAAGATGTGTCTGAGCACCTCGTCATCCACCTCCAGTGGCTGTGGGCCCAGGGAGAAGAGCAGGTCCGGCAGGCGGTAGGTGTCCCCAGGACGGTCCAAACAGTGGCAGGGGATGTGGAAGGCAAAGTCGTACTGTGGAAGCTGCCCACGGGCCCAGGCGCGGCTCAGTGCACGGGCACAGCAGCTCTTCCCCTGCCCGGCCCTGCCCAACACGGCAATCACTTGTGTTTCACGAGGCTGCCGGCGCTCCCTGGCTGCCAGCAGCACCTCGGCCAGACCCCCTGGGGCCAGCTGCCGCTCCGTCCAGTCCGGGGTGGCCAGCTCCCACTCCTGGCTCTTGTTGCTGGTCCTCTCCAGCCTGGCTCTCACCAAGTCCACCTGCACCAGGAGGCCATCAGGGCCCTCGGGCTCAGCCTGATACTTGTCCTGCAGCGAGTGACAGAACTGCTTCACTGGCTCTGCAAAGGCCAAGAGATGTGTCAGATGGGGGCACACGAGACGCAGAGCCAGCCACCACGAGGCCAGCGTTGTGTGCTCATCCATTCACTGCACTGTTTTCAATGACTGCCTCATTCAGCTACCCACATGCTCATTCACTGAGTAACTCCTTGCCACCTCCATTCGTTCACTCATCTTCTCGCCCTTGTTTCTTTCCACTCCTGTCATGCCTTCGCTAGCTGCCTTCTTCTCTGGGCCCTTCATTTGCTCACCACAGGAGGTCATGGGAGGGGGCATGTTAAGAGATAGGACAACAGGGCCAGGTGACTCACACCTGTAATCCTAGAACTGTTGGCAGGAGGATTCTTTGAGCTCAGAAGTTCAAGATCATCCTGAGCAAAAGCAAGACTCTGTCTCTACTAAAAATAGAAAAACTAGCTGGGTGTGGTGTTGAGTGCCTATAGTCCCAGTTTACTTGGGAGGTTGAGGTAGGAGGATCACTTGAGCCCAGCAATTTTAGGTTGCTATAAGCTAGGCTGAAGCCACAGTACCCTAGCCTGGGCAATAGGGTGAGACACAGGCTCAAAAAAAAAAAAAAAAAGAGAGAGAGAGAGATAGGACACACCTATAATCCTAGCACTCTAGGAGGTCAAGGTGGTTAGATTGCTTGAACTCAGGAGTTCGAGACCAGCTCTGACCAAGATTAAGACCCTGTCTCAAAAAATAGCCTGGTTTTGTGGCAGCTCCCTATGTCTGAGTTCAAATCCTAGCTCTACCATCTATTAGTGTAATCTCGAGCATGTTATTTACTGCACTATGCCTCAGTATTCTCATCTGTAAAAATGGGGATAATATTGGAATTGTTTGACACTTGGATGATTTAACGTATCTAATGCACTTGGATGAGTGCATGAAAGTAGCATTTAGTAACTTAGCCACTCTCTTATTCACCCATTCACGCTTACCTCCCCTCGCCCTCATCCTCATCTACTTCTTCCTTCGTCCACTCAGTCCATTATCCTCTCTCCCTTCATCCATTCTCTCAGCCTCACCAATGAGATGTGGATACCCAGCATGAGCTTATCGAGGGGTAGGTTGTTGATAAATATTACATGAGTGAGCGGTGGAACAAATGCTGAAATGATGGCATAATCAAATAAATGAACAAATGAGTGAAGTAATGAATGTGTGAGCCAGCAAATGAATGATTGAGTAAATGAGTGAACAGCAGAGTGAAGTCAGATTTGGGCTTCTGTCTCTAGCACCTGGGGCAGAGGGACCCTGCATCACTCACCAGGCCAGTTTGCAAGCTTGCCAGAAACCTCCTCATCTACCTGGCATTGGGTGCCGGACGTCTCACCCTCTGGAGATGGAAAAGCTGGTGTCAGAGTTAGGGTGAGGGGCACCCCTGGGGACTTCCCTCCCTCTTGGCCATTCAGTCCTCAGGCACAGTCCTGAGGGCACAGCCCACAAAGGCTAAGTTTCCCAAGATGGAAGTAACAAGATACTGGCCCAAGACTATCTCTGACTCAAAGACATCTTTCTTTGGCCAGGTATCCTTCTAAAAATTTCACTAATGTTTTAAAATCACAGTATCTATCTAGAAATTGGAATTTTCAGCTCGAGAGGATCTGGCCATACCAGACATGCTTTTCTTCTGGGTAACAAGTATCTGAAGGCTGGTGACTCCATTTGGGTGGGACATGGATTCATCAGCTATCACCTTTCCCCAGCCATGCCCTCCTCTCCCTGAAGACCTTCCCTGTCCTATCTGACCCATGAACATGATCTGTCCTACAGGCAGGCTCTGCTCATGAACCTGGTAAGAGGCGATTCCTTCCCCAGGGCCTCACTTCTGCTTCCAGAACCTCTCACAGCCCCCAAGGGTCCTTACCTTTCACAGCTGTGTGAGAGGTCAGGGCTGGTTCAGGCATGCTGGGCAGGTCAGCTGCAGAAGGAGCAAAGGGACTGGTGGAGCCAGGCCGGTCTGGGGACTTTGGGAGGCTGTGGATAGTGAGGCCACCAGAAGAAGGTGCTTGGTTGGCCTGGGGAATCTCACCTACATTATGAATAGAGGAGGGTGTAAGAACAACCAGGTACCCAGCCCAGAACCCACTTGAATCACCCTTGTCCCAAAGCAGGTTATGGAGCCTGGGAAGACTGGGGAAGAGGAGAAGGAAAATTCCAAAGGAAGACATTTCAGGATGGAGCTGAGGAAAAGTGCTTTGGAGTTAGCTCTAGCTCCCAGAGCCTCGGTTTGTTCCCCGACTCTTGAAATAGACATAATCAGCTCAGAATGAACTTTGGGCAGGTGCGACGATAGCATTGTTCCCACTGCATGGTTAATGCTCATTTTTCTAGAACTGTCAAGAACTGCTTATCTGTTACCGAGGCATCAGTGCATTATACAGAAACTGGCATGTAACTATCAAAGGATGTTCTCAAGTGGAAGAAAGCACCTTCCTGGCCTCATTTCTGAGAGGCAAAACATGGCTTCTCTGGGACAATCTACAACCTCTCAGTGTGGTGAGTCAGCAGGACCATTTTACTGATTAGGAAATAATACAAAGTTGAGAAAGTTGTGCAAGGATGTACACCAAACTATTCACATCTGTATACTAAAGAGTGAGGAGACACTCAGTCAACTCTTGTAAGCATTTATCATTGATGTTGCAACTTAAAAACACAATACAATGTTTTAAAAGAAGGAAAATTTGACTAGCCTGAGCAAGAGTAAAACTGTGTCTCTACTAAAAATGGAAAAAAAATTAGGCAGGTGCAGTGGCAGGCACCTGTAGTTCTAGCTACTTGGAGGCTAAAGCAGGAGGATTGCTTAAGCACAGGAATCTGAGATTACAATAAACTGTGATGATATCATTGCACTCTAACCCAGGCAACAGAGCAACTTCTGGTCATGCAACTGGCCACTTCAGGAAGCTCTGCTCTTCTACTTTAATGTTTGGGAAATTGGAACTGAGAAATGTATGCTAGAGAGGGAGGATCATGAGAAGACACTAAGTCCCTACAGCCAAATGCGTGGGGTAGGGAGAGGTCAGTTTAGGGAGAAGTCAGGTTGGGAGAGGGAGGTGGTCATGGGGAAGGCTTCTCACTCACCCTGGTAGATGAATATACTGGACACCCCAGCTCCTGAGATTTGCCAGAGCCCTTGGGACAAAGTGGGGAGAGTGGGGATGAACTGGATGTGTCCAGGAGGGAGATTCAGGCAGCTTGCCGAGGACTTGGAGGGGGCTACAGCAAGAGACAAAGTCAGTGAGGTGGGATATCCCACAGCATCCAAATTCATAATTCTGCTCTCTGATTCTTTGATTACTGTCTGACTGCCCGAAAGGGCTCTCATTCCCTTGAGAGCAGCAGCTGTGTCTGTCTTGCCTATGATGGTGTCCCCAGCATGGAGCAGTGTGGCTGCACGGAGAAGGTGCTCCATAAAGAGCTGATGAGTATATCAGGCTGGCAGGTGAATTCCCTAAGTGGTGGAGAGTCTCTTGGCCACCCAGAGATGTATTTCCTTCTGAGGCATTTTCTGGCAGGGACTGAGCTGATGGGAACCCTGGGGGTGACACTGGCTGGGACAGAGGTGAGTGACATTGATGGTGGGTAGGGTTTAGTCCCTCCCATCATGCTAGCCCCTCAGCCACCTCCTAGGAGGGGTAAAGCCAACCCTCTCCAAGCCCTCTAACATACTGGCCATCTGGACGGTTTCCTCCAGGTGCGGCTGGCTACATGCTGGCTCCTGGTTGAACAGTGCAGGTGGAGGCAGGAAGGGCAGGGCAGTGGAGTTGCTCACTGGCTCCACCAGGAAACTGCCAGTCACCATAGGCACAGCAGGGGTCTCAGCTGTGGGGAAGGGGGTGTGTCAGAGGCTGGGTGCTTGGGGGCTTTGGGGTGGCAGGGCTCTCTCCTAATCTCTCTCCTAATCTCTCTCCTGGCAGTTAGAGGAAATGCCTGTCCTTTCTCAATCCTGCTGAGCTGGGCCAAACAACAACTGCTCTGTGCCGCCAGCCCCTCCACCCTCTCCTTGTGACTGGGCCCTGAGAGCTTTCCAGAGCAGGACCCTAGAGTCCCTGCACACCCATCGGGGTAGAATAGAACCTATGAACAGGCGGCTGGCCCCGTTTGCTACCACCCTCCATGGCCTGGCAGGGAGCTCCTCACAGACACGAAGAGGCTCCAAGCACTCAGTCTGTGCCCAAAGCAAGGCAGGGGTTGCATTGTGCACACTTCTCTGCCTTCACCATCAGACTTGGGAAAGAAGGCGGTCAATCTCCTCTGTGAAATGGAGAGATCTAAGATGGAAATGATACACCTCCTTCATCAGCTCGGGAGCTCCCTGGGAACGGGGACCACTTCACAATGCTGAAGTCCTCATAGGTAGAACTCCTATCTCCCTCATCAGATCGGGGGTCTTGGAGAATAGGCACCTGTCTCTCCCATTAGATTAGGAGCTCCCTGAAAACAGAGACCACTTCTCCATCATCCTGGAGAGGGTCTTCATGGTCCTGTCTGTGTGATCAGACTGGAACTTTCTGGGGGCGGGAACTAGGCTTTCTCCATCCAACTATGAGCCTTTCATTTCTCTGTCTATTTTCCACACAGGGGCTGGTCTCTCCACCTTTGTGATCATAATCAGGTAGGAGGGAAAAGGGAGGTGAGGGGGAGGGAAGAGGAGAGGATGGAGGAAAGAGAAGGGAGAGGAAAGAGAGGAGGAGGTATCCAGTGGCAGGAGCTTGGGGGAAGGTCTCACCTGGTATGGGCCCCTAAGGAGGGCAGGAGGGCTGCTGGGTGCCTGTCTGGCCCAGGTGACTTTGCACTCTTAAAAGGAGAAGTGTGGTATGGGGGAGCACTGGAATAAGGCTGGGGGTGAGTGTCAGCTCCAACTCAGATGAAAAAGAGGGGGTGACAGGCTTCATAGAAGATGCTGACATCTCCTAGCAGCCTTCAAACTGCAAGATGTGGGCTAGGGAATCTTGACCTTGGTTTGACTCCCACCTCCCCCTCTCATTAGCTGTGAGATTCTGGACAAATGACTTCCCTTCTCTGAGTCTCAGCTTCCAATGTCAGTTTATATGGGCACCTGTGGAGGGCCCTCCCTGGCCCTCTGCCCTGCTCACCCAGCTTCTGGTGCTTCGGGTCTGCAAGAGGTTCCTCTGGGAAGGCTGCAGAGAGAACACCATGGTCAGCTGCTCCAGGGAAGGGATGTGCCAAGCCAGGAGGTCTCATGACCCCAGCAGGTCCTGAAGCCTTCCCTCCAAGGGCTGGGAGGTGGCCTTAGGGGCCCCCACCACCTCTCCTTGCTCCCTCCCTTTCCTCCAGCCACACTGGCCCCTGCTCAAACCCACCTTGAGCCCAAACTCCCACAAAGCACCCAGGGCAGCAGAAGGAGCT